ATGCAGTAATTCATTTGTTTTATTTGTTGATTTAATTTTTATCTTGTCATTCATCCATCCCTCAATCCATTTGCCCTGTCCTATCTATCCCATCCCATCCAGCCATTCATTTGCCCAGCTATTCATAGTTATCCATCCCTTTTCATTCATCCATTCATTTACCCATCTACTTTTCCACCCAGCCATTAATTTACATAGAAATATCTTCAATGATTTTAACTGACACCTTTCATTTCCCTCCAAGGTGGTAGAGTCCAGGTTAGGAACAATTATTCTTGGTCAACTGGACCAGATGGATAGAAATGTGCTCTTTACCCATGCTTTTGTAGCCAGGCAGACTGCACGTATAAGAGGTGCATTGACAGCGATTACAAGGTATCTCCCACTCCGCTTTCATACAGTTGTTTCATTTACAGCATGATATTTGTTTGTTGGCTGTTTTTTTCTGTCTGTTCTTTGATTTATCTGTCAATAAACTACTCAACATTCATCTTTTTTCTTTAATATGGTCGTTTCTACTCCTGGGGTTCCTGCCTTCCTCAATTTGAAGGAAGACTGCAAAATCAAACAGGAAATTATTTGTTTTTTATTAGACCCACTCAGCTGTCATCCATAATTCAGCAGTATGGTTTTCAAGAGAAACTGTTTTACTGTAAGTTGTTCAAAATATTATTAAATATTATTACATTTAAATTCTAAAGCAGCTGACAATAGCCTTTCGTTCACTTTGAATTAGTAGAGAAGCACAAATTATTGCACAGCAAGAATGAGTATCAACATTCCCATTTTGAAAAAAAGTGAGCAAMAAGAGGAAAAGTATGTAATATGAYAAAAWTATTCAATAAATATTAAGATAATGATAAAATGATGACAGAGGTGTTCCTCAGTATGAATCCTTTACTTCGTCATACAATAATCTGGTTGAATCTAAAAAATCGTGTGCTTTTTCTAAAATCTTTAGAGTGATGCTCTTAATCATTGTCTTAAATTCAAACTTGTTGTATGCCTTGTATGCCAGGTGCCATTGGTGACTTYCTATCTAATGGACGTATTGCTGGCTCTACGCAAGGAAGACAGGATAAAATACAATARGTTCCTGAGATTTACACCCAAAGTCAAAACAACTGGGTTGATGACTTCCTAAAACAAAATGGTTACATTGGTAAGTAATTCACACTGCTTGGAGTTCATCAATAGACCTAATCGGAAAATGGCGTTGCTATGTACATTGCCACCCAATTCAAATCTTGTGGGAAAAAGAACTTTTGTTTCTAAGAATTCAACTGTGAAATGAAAWTACAACGAACAATGAAACTTACTCCCGGGTGGTTTGAATTGGGTTGAAGCCGATTAGGTCTATTACCAAGGAAAAAGTGTGTTAAGTGCCCGTATGTCAATATTTAAAATTAATAAAATAATTTAAGGATGATAGCTGGAAAGGTGTAATAGTATGGTTTGAATGTATTTGCAGAATARGATGCACTAACAAGGCTTGGTATTACCGATGGAAAACAGTTTTTAAAAAGAAGATATGACAACAATGAGCTTTTCTTGCCTACTTGTTGTGTTGGGCAGCAAGTTCAAGACAACGTACATGCTGCCATTGATGAAGGACTAGCAACAATAGGATGGATTGACGTCACGGTAACGTACCCTNTAAGGATGATAGCTGGAAAGGTGTAATAGTATGGTTTGAATGTATTTGCAGAATATGATGCACTAACAAGGCTTGGTATTACCGATGGAAAACAGTTTTTAAAAAGAAGATATGACAACAATGAGCTTTTCTTGCCTACTTGTTGTGTTGGGCAGCAAGTTCAAGACAACGTACATGCTGCCATTGATGAAGGACTAGCAACAATAGGATGGATTGACGTCACGGTAACGTACCCTGGGAATATCTTGCTGTATAGTTTGCATTAAATGTCATTATGATAGATGATTTATGTTATTTTTTGTTACAGCCTCTTCTACCCACCCCATTTACTGGTGAAGATGCAAACCAATTCTTACAAAACTACCTTAAAGTAACTGGAAAATCTACCACACATATATTCTGTGATAGCTTTGTTGCKAGTGAGCAGTTTCTAGATTGTTGTAAAGCTCTGTTTGACAAAATTATGCAAATGAAGGCACAAAAGGTGAGTAAAAAGAAATTTTTTTTGATTTATACCTTGTGTACACATAGTCAAAGTTGTCCTTGATGTGTATTATCATTTAATTATTTTTGAAAAACATTACATAATTTTCTCAGAGATCTTTCGGGTAAGGTACGTTTTGTGGTCATTTTGATATCCTAGTGAATAATGCTAAAGAATTAACTTGTAAAGTTTTATTCAGTACACTGACATGAGCTAACTAAACATTTCTTCACCAGATAATACAAAATCTATTATATTTCTAAAAAATTCCTGAAAAAAATGCACTAAAAGTTGTAGTGTAGACAGGACTTTGGGGTGAAGATTAGCAGTGTGCTTGAAAACCATCAATTATTATTATTATAGTTTGATTGTTATTTGTTATTCAGGATGCTGCTGAYTCCCCTGCATTAATCTCTGAACTCTCCAAACGAGACATGGCCAACATGAAAGGAGCAGGGTCTGGAGCTGATCGAKGGGAGGCAAAGAAGGAGGAGAGACAAAAGAAAGCCAGTAGTGGWAGTAAAGGAGGCGGCAGTGTTGGGGGTCGAGGAGGAAGAGAGACAAAGACCAAGAAGGTACAATGWTCTTAGTTTACAAAGTTACAGATTGAAGTGATTGAATGATCAATACTGTATATTGTATTATGTGCATTTATAATGTTCCATGATTGGAACTGTTTTTTTCATATTTATAGACAAAAGATAAAAGATTCAAAGGTGGAAAGAATGAAGAACCAGATGATTCATTTGAAGCAGAGAGAAGCACACGCCCTGATGAACTYCAATTCATGAAAGTTGAWGAGGTATTTTATACTGTAATTATTTAAATTATTATCATTTCAAGTCAGGTAAAAGACACAAATTACAACAAACTTGCACTAAAGCAGTTCAAATTTCATAACTATATTATATTAAATTTTAAATGAGATTTAACTCATTTTTTCTGTTCTTCAGATCACAGAAATCTTGCAYAACAACAACAAAGACTGTGATGAAGACTTTATGGCTGAAGTTGCTCTACATCTCCACAGGTAGATGAATGGGACCAACATAGTTTTTTATAAATTATAGTTATATGACTTGTGATTGCAGATTGAACATGCTATTTTAAGCACAAGGAATACTCCCAGAACTAATGTACTGTACTTACAACACTGATTGCATTTATTTGCTGTTTTTTAACACAATTTTTCTTGGCAGACCATTGACTCGTTCCTACCAACAAGTTGTACGCACTGTCCTTCAAACATCTGGTGACAAGAAGAGAAAGAGTCATTCAGAGGTACAAGAAAAAGTCAACACTTTGTGGTCAAGTGCTAAGGTCTTTGATAAAAGTATTCAGCTGTTTGATGGTAAGAGAAAGGATTCTCATTTTCCTACCTTCCTTTTCCCATGCTGTTCTTCTTCCTTCTCCCTTCCATTCTTCCTTTCATCCATTATTTTTTTGTGGCCATTCATATATTCATGACTTTGAAGACAAGTGTCATTTGTTTTCAGATGACGTCCAAGTGCATCTCTCCAGACACTTACTGCGAACAGTATGRACTGATATGGTCAACCTGATTGTCAATATGCTGGCTGCTGACCATATGCTTGCAGTGTCAGATGAACGAACTCTTACCACAGAGGTTAGTAGCATTACATGCAAATTTTCTTATTAATGGTGGTTATAATGACTTCACTGATAAAATGTATGATTCTTTCCTCTCAGAATCGCATGAAAATAATCTCTAAAATGCCAGACCAAATAAAGTCATCTCTTGTCAAACTGAATGCTACACTGAATGGCAAGGTAAATTTCAGTAATAATTGATGCTCAATTTGATCTATCATGTTGATTAAAAAATAAACAAAAATATTGCAGTTATTTTTACTCTGACAGAAGATGACAATTTTTTTCAGCATTTTYCTGGGATTCATTGTACAGCAATTTTTTTCTCCATTTTTTTAGGAAACCTCAGAGTTTTTCAGCCAGTTTGATGTTGTCTCAGGACCTGGTTTATGRGAATTTATGATCAAAAAACTGGATAAGAAAAAAGAAAAGTAAGATATGAAATTTTCTCTTTTTTGGTGTTTGAGCTTAATACTCAAAATGACACTTAGTTCAATATCTATCATTAATATGTATTAATTATTATTCATCAATAATATTATCATTATAATCGTCATTATAGTCAACATAATTGTTGTTTTGTCAGACAAATCACCATTGAACACAGAGCAGCGTTACAAGAACAACTTCGTCAAGAAAACGAGCCAGCAATGGCTCTCCACTTGGCAGCAGTTTTATTATTTCAGCACTTTGCCTCTTCTCCTCTCCATGCCCCTGGACGCTGTGTCCCACAAGTCATTGCCTACCTCTCTAATCATGTGACTCCTGAACAGCAAGAAAAATTGACTAGGTACCAGTCTCTTGTTGTAAAACGTTTAACTGGTGGGTCAATAGAAGATGAGAGGGAACCTGGTGAGGAGGCTGCAGAGAAAAGTGCATCAGTTTTATTGGAAGAAGGAATACAAGAAATTAAAGAAATGGCATTGAACATTAAAAAAATAAACAATAAAGAAGAGCAATAGAAAGAAAAAATGGTTTAAAATATATTAAAATAAAAATTGAATCACCATCAAGCCTCTGCTTCATTTTTTTCTAATTAATATTTCAATCAATCACTTCCATCCATTTGTCCACCCATCCATTCATTCTTCCATTTAGATAATGATGATAATTGCAATATTATCGAGCAAGATATTTTGTGCTATGATACTCAATATAACGCTTATTCCACTTACTTTTAGTGAAATTCATATTCTTTGAAGTCTCTGTTGAAGGCTCCACTAGTTTTTGATGGGTTTCCTGTGTGTGTGAATAAGGCCAGGCTGCGAATGTGCTTTCTTTACTGCACGTGTAGGCTTCAAAATGTTGTAATGTTTCTTCGCTAGAAAAACTATTATATTTTACTGCGATCTCACTAATAACATTATGGACAGTCATATTAGGAAACTTAAAAAGCTTAAGAAAAAGAAAAACAAGTTGAAAACCGCTGTGGAGACGGCAAAGACAGGTATTGTCGGCGAAGAAAGTTGTTGATTGTCCCACAACAAAAACAGCTGAGAACTTTGATGTGACTTCTGATTCGCGTTCACTCGTTGTTTTTGTAGCTGAAGAGTTCAAAGACAAGGACAGTGATAAAGTTACCAATACTGAAGGTAAAGAAGTTGATGTCGAAGAAGAAACATTGCCAGTTGGTGAGTCAACAACTTTTGTTTTGACCTTTGATTTTGTCAACGAATTAAAGTAGCGTTCTTGGCTGCAGAATAACAATTCGTGTATTTAACAGATGCCGTTTTACCAGACGATACAAGCTTTGCTTCGCTGGTCGGTTTGGTCAGTGAGAAAACACTCAATGGAGTGAAAGAGATGGGATTTACTAACATGACTGAGATACAACATAAAAGTATTGCACCTTTGTTAAAAGGAAGGTAAGAACGTACTGAATTTATAAATATGATTCCTAGTATGCTACCTGTATCCCTGCTACTTTTGCACTTAATTTCAACATTGTATACTGTTTATTTAATCCATTGTTTTGTCTTCCATTACAGGGATTTATTAGGTGCAGCTAAAACAGGAAGTGGCAAGACCCTTGCATTTCTAATACCTGTCGTTGAATTATTGTATAAACTTGGATTTAAGACAAGAAACGGTAATCAACATGTAACTACCTATTTAACTCATGTTTAACTAGCTTACTTCTAGCGCATTTACACTACCATGAAGGTCTAAAAATTGTATCAGTTGTTTTCATCAAAAGTACTCCTTATTTTAGGTACTGGTGTAATAATTATATCCCCAACTCGTGAGCTTTCTCTACAAACCTACGGTGTTGCACAAGACCTTCTTAAAGAGCATAATTTTACTTACGGTATTATAATGGGAGGTGTGAACAGAAAAACTGAGGCTGATAAACTTCAAAAGGGAGTTAACTTATTGATTGCTACTCCAGGCAGACTGCTAGATCATTTACAAGTGAGTGACATGATTAATTGATATGTCAAAATAATTTTGAATTACAGTACACCATCTTGAAAAGTATAAGCCATGCATGAAAGTGGACAGTGTTTGAATGCATAGTGTTTTCACACCTAGGGCAGTTTTTGACAGCTGTCAATCAATGCTATCAATCAATGATTCATACCTAGGACAGTTATTGACAGTTATCAATCAATGATTCATACCTAGGACAATTATTGACAGCTATCAATCAATGCTTCATACCTAGGACAGTTATTAACATCTATCAATCAATGCTATCTATCAATGCTGCATACCTAGGACAGTTATTGACATCTATCAATCAATGCTTCAAATCTAGGACAGTTATTGACAGCTATCAATCAATGCTTCATACCTAGGACAGTTATTGACAGCTATCAATCAATGCTATCTATCAATGCTGCATACCTAGGACAGTTATTGACAGCTATCAATCAATGCTATCTATCAATCATGCTCAAACACTGTGTCACTTTGAAGCAGACACTTGGCTGCCTTACACAATGATACTGGGAACTGTCAAGAAGTAGAGACAAATAGACAAAGACAAACATAGAGACAAATGAACTATAGTCTCAAAGCTTTACTATTATAGTGATTACTAAATAACAGCTAATATTAAATTCACCCCATTTGACACAGAATACACAAGGTTTCATCTTCAGTAACCTACAGTGTCTTGTCATTGATGAAGCTGACAGGATTCTTGAGATTGGATTTGAAGAAGAAATGAAACAAATTGTTAAATTATTACCAAGTAAGACTAACAATACAACGTGTGTAGCTTGTGTATGAATAAAGCTGAATCTTGTCACATAGTGAATAGTGGAGCAGTGGAGAGAAAGAAGATATTTAATCTGCTTTTTCTAAGAGAACCACAAGAAATATGATTTTCATTTTCTTAACAGCAAAAAGGCAAACTGTTTTGTTTTCTGCTACACAAACCAAAAAAATAGAAGACCTTGCAAAGTTATCACTAAAAAGGTCACCTCTGTATGTTGGTGTGGATGACAATAAAGAGACTTCAACGGTGGAAGGACTAGAGCAGGTTTGTAAGATTAGATAATGATTATCATGAAAAAAGTTTTCTCAATCAACTTGACAATGATTTTGTCTCTTCATAGGGTTACATTGTTGTTCCATCAGAGAAGCGTTTTCTTGTTCTCTTCACGTTTTTAAAGAAAAACAGAAACAAAAAGGTTATGGTGTTCTTCTCTTCTTGTAATTCTGTCAAGTATCACTCAGAGTTGTTAAACTACATTGACCTACCTGTCATGGACATTCATGTAAGTAAAACTCTTTTGTACAGTTATTTGTTAGTCTATGTTGTTAGAGTCACAATCAATTCACCAACATTTAGTACAGTTTTAGGAGCTATTGTAGAATGCTTGTTTTAAACTTGCATCTTATCCTATATTTTAGGGAAAACAAAAGCAACAAAAAAGAACTACAACATTTTTTGAATTCTGCAATGCAAAAGCGGGCATTCTTCTCTGTACCGATGTAGCTGCAAGAGGCTTAGACATTCCTCAAGTAGATTGGATAGTACAGTTTGATCCCCCTGATGATCCTAAGGTGAACGACTTTATATATAGTGAAAAACACCCAAAACCCGTATTTGTGTATACTAAATGAAAAGAGAAAGAGAATATAATAAGTTAGATATTTTTGCAAGTCCAATTTATGTACTTGAGTCATTGAAGAAACGCTTAAATACTTTGTAAATTCTAACAGGAATACATTCATCGCGTTGGAAGGACTGCGCGAGGTATCGATGGTAGCGGGCATGCATTACTGTTTCTACTTCCAGAAGAGCTGGCTTTTCTACGATATCTTAAACATGCCAAGGTAGGTGCCAGTTTCTACATTTGACAACCAATGACTTAAAATGTCAGATTTAGATGAAATTAATAATTTCTATTAAAAGTTTATCAAGTCAAACGGTTTTTTTCAGGTACCACTGAATGAGTACGACTTCTCATCGTCAAAAATATTGAACATTCAATCACAGGTAAACTTGAAAGTTATTGAATAAATTCTATTGTTTTTCTCTCCTTTTGGTTTTATTTAGTCAGCCATCTTGTTGAGTCATTGATAATTCGTGCCATTTCCATTTTTGACAGCCAATTTTTTTTGCAGTTAGAAAAGCTTATTGAGAAAAACTACTACCTTCACAAGTCGTCAAAGGATGCATATCGGTCATATTTACAAGCTTACGCATCGCACCAACATAAGAATATCTTCAACGTTAATACCTTAGACTTACAGCGTGTTTCACTGGCCTTTGG